CTATTCCCATTTTACACTCAAGGAAACTGAGATTCTTAAAGATCAAGTAATGTGATGAGGATTACATAGTAAGCAAGTAATGGAACAAGTATACAAACACAGGTCTGATGCCTAAACCTGAACTAATGATGACATCAAAGGCTCATCTTCGGCAGCATTACCCACGTCATATTATGTAACTACTTAAAATTTTCAAAAGATTTTTTACCTTAAATATAAAATACCCCTGACTATGGAGAAACAGAATCATTGTGCAATCCAGTAACAACTCAGTTAACTGAGAGTGCAGTAGAAACTCTGACCTCACCTGATCAACCCACAGGACTGGCCAGTGCTCTCCACACACTCCACAAAAGCAGACATGGCTGATACTGAATACTCGTGGCTAACAGGGTACTTTCCAGTTGTTCAAACATGTCTACTTTCACTAGTTAAGTTATAAGCTTAACAAGAATCTGATGGTTGGGGACAGCTTGGTGGCCTGGCAGTAGTACATTGCTCAGCAAGGCTGGATCCACATGGAAGATTGTGGCATGGTTCCCAGTCAACCATTAACATATGCCATGGTCCTGATCGAGGAAGGTTGTGGGGATGCTACTGCAGAGTAAGACCCTGTTGAGAGTACCTATCACTGTTCTCTTTCTCTCAAGAGATAAACTTTTAAGAAAGAATCTGACATTAGTTCCTAAACCTACTTGTACATTAAGCTCTATAGCAGCTACTTATAATAAATCAGTGAATAAGTATGTTATTTCTATAAAACTAAGTTTACAGCTTTGGAAAAAGCATATTTTTAAGAATTAATTAATTATTTTTTCCAATTTGCTATAGGCCATGTATTCTCATGGGGACAGGGGGTGGGGTGGCGTGGGGAAGGAAGGGGCAGAGAGAGTGAGAAAGTAAGCCACCAGGTCTGGGGTCAAACCATGCTTGGCCATATGGGAGTCCAGCAACTCAACCACCATGTCACCTGCTGGCCCCAAAACCACATTTTGATAAATACAATTTGTTCGAATGTAAATTCCCTCTTTCCCAAAAACAAATTCATGTTGAATTATGTGCAAGTCTATATAATTGTTTTTTAAAAGTTTTAAAATTATTTAAAATCACTAAAATGTAAGATTTCACCCTCAGATTGTCTGTAGTGTTACTCCATTTTAAAGAAATCAAAAGTAGAAATTTTTTGATGTACATTACTTATATGGTTTAACACAAAAATCATGTCTAATTCTTGAAACAAACAAAAAACAAACAAAGAAAAATGCAGACCCACCTCACTCCCAGTAAGGTCAATGAGGCTGCATCAAAAGATAAATTGGAAAAAAATTAAGGGTTCAAAGAAATGTTTTAACAATTCTCCACTATTACACCATATCAGGTAGGATAAGAAGCTCCTATTGTATTTATTTAGAAACTTTAAATCTCGGACCAGCAGTTGGCATAATGGCTATGCTTCTGGACTCCCATGTAGTCAACTGCAGTTCGAGTCCCAGACCCGGTGGCTTAAACTCACGCCAGGCGCATGTGTATTTGTGCCTAAGATCCCGAGAGGAGAATGGAGAAGGGATTGTGGTGTGGCCATCCCCTCCGGGGGGTGATTTCTCACTTTCTGTCTCTCTAGAGAGCTCACACGCCCTATAGCAAAAACCTCTCTTAAAAAAATAAAAAATAAAAGAAACCCCACAAAACTTTAAATCTCTGAAGCATAGCTATATCCCACTAAGTAAGTATATGAGTCTTTACATTGAAATTGACACTTTACCCATATTCTGAATGAATGTCTGAGATTCTCCTATTTACCCTGATTTTAGAGCACTCTGTTAAGTATGGTTACCTACTTCTCTAGCTCAGAGCCCAAAAGTAGGGAAATTAAAAAGAGGCCAGAATTAGCACATTAAGAACAAAGAATGTTGAGAGAAAGGGATGGTTAAATTTTTTTGTTTTAAGCTGGAGTGGTTTAAGCCAGAGACCTCCAAAAACAACAAACCTCATAAACTTAAATATTTCTTCAGGGTATTTCTAGATTCGAACAAAGTACAGATGACAATACTCGTTTATCAATAAAAGGTTAAATGATCTTGATTCTATAATTTTTAAATATAAAAAAAGGGCAGAAAAGCATTAATATTTTAGAAGTATTACAAGGTTTTATACACACACACACACACACACACACACACACACAGATATATCATGATTATAATAAAAAATGTTTTTGGTACTTAAAGAGGCAAATTTCTGGGGCCAGCAGATGGAATAGCGGTTAAGGTGTTAGACTCCCAGGACTTGAGTCCTGGATCCGGTGGCTTGAAACTCACACCAGGCATGTGTGAGTGCATGCCCAAAATCCTGAGAGGAGAGTGGAGAAGGGATTGCAGTGTGGCCCTCCCTCCTGTGAAAGGATTTCTCACTTACCCTCCGTCTCTGGCAAGCGCACACACCCTATGGCAAAAAGGTTTTAAAAATACTGGGCGTATGTGCGTGTGTGCCCAAGATCCTGAGAGGAGAATGGAGGAAAAGGGATTGTGACGTGGCCATCCCCCCCAGGGGGTGATTTCTTGCTTTTTGTCTCTGGCCAGCAAACACGCCATATAGCGAAAACCTCTCCAAAAAAAAAAAAAAATTTTTTGGAGAGGTTTTCGCTATAGGGCGCGTGCGCTCGCCAGACAGAGACATAGAGACAGAAAGCGGGAAATCACCCCCCCCCAGGGGGGGATGGTCACGCCGCAATCCCTTCTCCTCCATTCTCCTCTCGGGATCTTGGGCACGGCCACACACGCGCCCGGCGTGAGATTTAAGCCACCTGGTCCGAGACGCGAACCGCGGTCGACTACGGGGGAGTCCAGCGACACAGCCATTACGCTAACTGCTGGTTCCCAAAAAATTTTTTTAAAAAACAACCAACCAAATTTCAATTACCAGAAAATTTACTCATACAGAATAGTTCCACAGACACTAAAATAGAAAGAAAAAAAGGTAGGAAAAAAAATGAAGTACTAGCATCTTTTATATAGTCAAGTACTGCCCATCACTGTACCTTTCAACGTACATGTCATTGTAACAATTAACTGGTCAAGAAAAAATATTCATGGGGTTGTGGTAGCAATTTTTTGAACGGTGAAGTAAAACAGAAACTACAAAACTGCATTCTACATCGTATGGCTAGATGTATTTGTGAAAAAAATTATTTCATTATTTCTTGCTAGTTTACTAAGTAAAAAATATTGCTTACTGTGGGTTCTGGTCAAAAAACGTCATGGGCCTAGAGGCTCAAGTTATTATTGTGGAATATAATTATAATACTAAACTTGCAATCCCATCATTCTTATCTGAGAATGCTAAAGAAAGATACACTTTTAAAGGGGTGGGTCCCTTCTTTGGGAGTCTGGATGAATAAATTTATTTATCTTCCTTTCAATCCGTGCAAGTATAAGTGAAAGATTTTATTGTTTTGAGCACTAGCTTTGGCTAAAAGAGATAGGGTGCAAATACTATTTTTTAAACTGCTGGTGACTATAAGGCAACTTTTAACAACAATCCAAACCAAATAGTGACTTTGATTTTGTTTGCTTATTTATTCAGAGATGCAATGACTGACCTTGGTGCCATTTTCCCAAAGTCACTGGTGTCATCTAAAAGTCTGAATTTGGCATTACCCACTAGCAACCTGCTCAACAGCAATATACTTGGTAATTCTTCATACAGACATAGCTCTTGTTGGATTTTAAGTAACTGCCAAATACTGAAAGTTAATTTATGCCACTAAATTAAATACGGTAGTCTCCGCTTCTTACGAGGGCATTTTTTAAAAACTTATTTATTTTGAAAGAGACATGGACAGACACCTTTAACAAGGTCTGGTCATACCATATCCCTTTCCCTCACATCCCTAAGCTAGTAAGGATCTTGGGCTCCTGTCCCCTGTACCTTTCAGGTCAACTCAGCATCTGAATTGCGGTCAGTCATGAGGTGTCCTAGTATTGCAATTCAGTATGCTACAACCTGTGCCATCGAGGCTGGACTCCCAATGCATGTTGACGGCCATTATTACCAAAGACATACTTGAACTAAAAAATTTCCATTTCTAACACTGAAAAAAGAACCACTTTCACACACATCTTTTGAAAAATAAACATATATTGTATAGGGTAAATATTTCCAGTCCTTAAATCTGGTTTGGAAAGCGATTCTGTCATCTAGCCCAACTGCCTACCAAATATAATAATCCCCTCCATACAATGTTCCTTGGAATCAAACCCATATCTGACTAGAAAGCCCTCACTATTCATCAGTACTGTATTAAATCTTCTAAAGTTGGTCTTTGTCATTAATCAGAAAACTTGTAAACAATTCCTTTGAAGTCCTTGAAAAGAACAGTGTATGCATTATTCTCATACATCCTGATACAACGGGTTTAGAAAAGAAAGAACATTTACTCGGGATTTCGGCAGTCCTAACTGTCCATATATTTATATATCGAATGCTGGGGTACTTTCCAAACTTTGGTGTTTACTTAGAACACAAAAACAGGCAAGGAAAGCAGTAATAATAATAACAAAAACAGGCATCAGGTGTTAAATTTTCTCTTCCATTTATCAAGCTTAAACTCTCACGTTTAAAAACCTTGTAAATTTAAGGTTCAAGTGAGATTGTTTTGTACCTGAAAATGAGTAACAAGAACTCTAAAAAGATACCCAGACTTGTAGCAACAGAGACATACACTGCTCTTGACCCTTTCATTTGAGATGCACTAGAATTTTATCTTGAAACTTTTGCTGGACAAGCACTTTTGAAGTACGTGTCCTCCATCTAGATCCTAAACCCTCCCTCTTCCATTCGCCCTTCTCTACCTCACCAGCTGGAATCTGTCACAGAAACAGATAATCACGTATGATACAGAAATAGTTGAGCCTGCCGCTGAATTAGGTTAACACTTCTAAAATGAGGCACAGGGAAGGAAAAAAAAAAAGAGAGAGGCCCTGCTTGAATAAATCATTTACCTCGATCTGGCTTCATTTTCACATCCAATTTCCACCCAGAATGCCGTGAAATACACGTGTGGGTTAATTTCAACAGGCTCGCCGCTGAGTCGACGGCTTCTGCTTGGTTTTCGAAATGCTAAAAGAGATCAAAAATCAAATTAATCCAGCACTCGGCTAAGCCCCGGCCTTGCAAGAAAACTACTGTTCCGTGAGGCCCATTCCTGGCACCAACGACGGTGACAGCACCCCCGGCAGGTTTGGAGAAAAGCAGAACTCCCTGCACTACCCCCCCC